TTTTCCCCCCTTTTAAGAGGGTTTTTCTTCTTGCTGACTAAATGAGGCAGGCAATCAGGATCACGTTTCCCGCATGCTAATGACACAGGCAACCCAAGAGCAAAAACCCAAATAAAAGCTGCGTCTCCTGCTCTTACTCTGAATGGAATAACATTCTCGCTCTGTTTCGTAGCCCCCGCCTCAGTTAATGCTGCTATGGGGGGGGGGCGCTGCAGTAAGCAAGATTTTTCTTGAGATGCCCCCCCCCCTTCTTACAGTTGTCTCCTCACTCGGTACATTTTGGGAGAAATAACAGAGAGATAACCTGACTGGGTGAAACCTGGTTTTAAAAATACACCATTTCTGAAAGGAACATTCCGACTGCCACATGATTTGCTCAAGGATGGCACAGGAAGAACTGGATAGGGTTGCCAGCTCTGGGCTGGAAACTACCTGGAGACTTTGGGGGTGGATCCAGGAGAGGGCGGGGTTTGGGGAGGGGCCTCAGCAAGGTACAGTGCCAATAGAGTCCGCCCTCCGAAGCAGCCATTTTCTCGAGGGGAGCTGATCTCTGTCCGCTGGAGACCAGCTGTAAAAGCGGGAGATCTCCAGGTCCCACCTGGAGGCTGGCAACCCCCCACTGGACTAATATCAAACATGAGTATTTTCCTGCCTCACTTTGGCAGTCTTGGTTATATTTATTTCCTCAAGACTGCATGGCTTTTGGAATGTTCGTCTGAGGCCCCCAGAGAGGGGGAGTCTCCAACTGGAACCTGTCAGGGGTTTGACCCACAGACGGTAAATTCCTTCAGATGCCAGATGGAAGAAACTGAGGCCAAAGTGAACATAAGAACATAAGAGAAGCCAATGTTGGATCAGGCCAGTGGCCCATCCAGTCCAACACTCTGTCACACAGTGGCCAAAAATACCAGGTGCCATCAGGAGGTCCAGCAGTGGGGCCAGGACACTAGAAGCCCTCCCACTGTTGCCCCCCACCAAGCACCAACAATACAGAGCATCACTGGCCCCAGACTGAGAGTTCCTATCTATACCTTGTGGCTAAGAGCCACTGATAGACCTCTGCTCCAGATGTTTATCTAATTCCCTCTTGAAGCCGTCCATGCTTGTAGCCACCACCACCTCCTGTGGCAGTGAATTCCATGTGTTAATCACTCCTTAGGCGAAGAAGTACTTCCTTTTATCCGTTCTAACCCGACCGCTCAGCAATTACATGGCGTGCCCACCAGTTCTTGTATTGTGAGAAAGGGAGAAAAGGACTTCTTTCTCGACCTGCTCTATCCCATGCATAATCTTATAAACCTCGATCATGTCACCCTGTCAGGTCCCGAAGACCTTGGGGTTCGCTTATATAGATAAAATGCAGTCACTCAGCAAAATAAATTCTGAAGACCAGGTTTAAAAAAGAAAACTACTGGATTTAATTGAAAAAAAAAATAGTTGTAGTAGAAGGGATGTCAAGCAAGCAGGAAACATCCAATCATAACAAGCAACGGCAAACAAACAATAAAAAGCCAGGTGACAGGACCAATGAAAACAATAACTCACTTCTTGTTAAGTCACTCACTTAACAAAGCAGTTGGAAAGTGATTCAGCAAGAACACAACTTTATTCTTCAACTCGAACACAACTCCAACACGGATCAACATCTGATAGCCAGAACAGCTTTTACATTGCAGCTGTCCTGCTTTTAAACTCTCCCGGCTAATGTAGCCACGCCTACTGTACAATTACCAACCAATAAGGTTGTATGCATAAGGACCAATCACGGACGTTCCCGCTCAGGGAGCTTGCTGACAAGTGATTGGTTGGTTCTTCCTGGGCTAGCAATGCGATTGGATGGATTTGGATCCTAGCCCAGGACGAAGCTTAACATGACATTTCAATTAGATGTTTTCATCACACATTATGATTCAATGGCAGCTTATTGAATACATTACACTTCTGTGAGGCCAATTCCTTAAAACAGTCCAATATCAGGTAGGAGAAACTGGATCATTTCGGCCCAGAGTATAGCCGGCCCCACCCTGTGAAGCCTAATGAGAGAGTGCTGCGCCACAGTAGCTCCCTCTTCCTAGGTCCGTCCCTCTGCCGTCTGGCCACCAGCTGATAAGAATTCAACTCCCTAATTAACCCTTCTGGCTTGTAAAAAGATTACGGAGGTTTATAAGGACAATTCTCCCCCATAACAAAATCTCACAGCTGAATATAATGAACATGCAAGGCCAGGTCCTAAAACCTCTGTTCCTCACACACCCCTCAGCCGTCCTTTCTCCAAGCTAAAGAGCCCCAAGCCGTGGCCTAATTGACGGTAATCCGTACAGAACAAGAAGAGCAGTGGTGTTCAAGATGGGGAGCCGTGTTAGTCTGTCTGCAGCAGGACAAAAGAGCAAGAGTCCACTAGCACCTTAAAGAGTCGCAACACTCTTCACCACTGCCTCAGATAGGGCTGCCAAGCCGCGGCGGGGGATCCGCACGTCTTCACAGGATCCCTGCCGCAGGGGACAGCGATACGCGTTGCACCGCCGTCGCCAGGATGTGACACTACGCGTCGCTTTGGCGGGACTCCAAACAGCCCCATTGCCAGAGCGACGCGTAGCGTCACATCCTGGCGACGGCGGTGCAACACGTATTGCTGTCCCCCGCGGCAGGGATCCTGTGAAGACTTGGCAGCCCTAGCCTCAGACTGGCTCTCTCAGGTATTAACCAGGGACAGCCCTGCTTGGCTTACAAGCCCTGAAGAGGTCAGGCCAGCCCAGGCTAATATTTTGCCCCCGGTGCACATATCCTGAGACGCGAGGAAAGGGATCGAGGTGGGCCCAAGGGGGAGTGTTTTGCACAAGCCTCTGGGGAGGAAGGCGGCCTTGTCTAGGATAGTGGCTCTGATAGCCGACAGGCAAGAATACCGCTGCCTCTTCAGCCACCGCCCGACTCAAGCTATGGCTCCTGTTAAAACCCAGAGCAAACAGAGTCCATAAAGCAGGGGTGTCAAACTCATTTGTTACGAGGGCTGGGTCTGACATAAATGTCACTTTCTTGGGCCAGGTCATGCGTGCCATGAAACGTAATGCCAGGTACCGGAGATAGAAACTGTATAAAGGACAGCAGATGGTAAGTTCTGAGTTGGTGTATCCTCACTTGCAAGGCCCCATGGGCTGGGAGGGGGGGTGTAAAGGAAAACCCGCACGGGCGGACTAGAGAGGCAGCAGTGCAGTGCTGGGCGGATTCTCCCATGATGCTTGACTGCTGCAGATGAGGCTGTTCTGCTGTGTTGAAGCCACAATGGAGTGGCTCTGCCCACTCCCCCCCCCAGCACTTCCTTCCTGACATTAGTTGCTCACGGGCTGCATAAGAGCCCTGACTGGATGGGCCAGATCCGGCCCCCGGGCCTTATGTTTGACACCCCTGCCATAAAGGCTTTGAGAAATTACTGGCTATCAGAGAATCCCCCACTGGTCTTTCCCCCCAGTCCCTTTCACGCGCTTATCTCCCCCTCCTGCTCTCACAAACCTGTCAGTTACACATGCGTAATTATCGTGCCTCAAAATGAGAAACAGGAAGGCCGTGCGGGGGGGGGGGGGAACCCACTTCAACACACAGCCTAGCTTCCAACTGACTTCTCCCAAGACACTGAAATCATATGAAGATGTCAAAACAGAGACAAGATTAGTAGCTCATTTGATGCCCTGTCTACTGGCAAAAACACGCTACCTGAAGCAGTCGCTACTTTCCCTCGCACATCACCTTCAAATAACATTTCAATCTCGGAGGTTCCCGGGAAAGTCTCACACCAGGTAGCTCAAACGGAGACACTTCTCCATCTTCAGGCATCGCTTGTGTTTTCGGGTGCACTGTTTTACAGTAATTGCGCTCAAAACAGGAAGCGGTCGCAAGACAGAGCAGTGCAACTCACAGGAGAGAACATATCCCCGCTAACCAAACCGATGTGTGAATAAAGGTTCGCCTCAGCTTCACAAAGCCCTTCAGGACAACCGTAGCTATAATGACACCTAAGATAGATATATGTGCACTAAACACATTTATCAGGCATGATCACACTTTCCGAGTACCTGGCCAGCTGTCGCATAGAGGAGGGCTAGACCTCATTCTCTGCGACTCCAGAGGACAAGGCTGGAATGAGGGTGTAAGTTACAGGAGGGTAGATTTCAGATGAACATTAGGAGACATTTCTGAATGTATGGACAGTAGGGTTAGCAGGCCCCCAGTGGGAGCAGAAGATTAATGGTGGCAGGAGAAAAATAAAATTAAAAATGACCACTGGGCAACGGCTTGCTGTCACTTCTGGGAAAACATGGAAGTAACATTATACCACTCTAGGAATGGGCCAAAACTCTATGGTTTGACCATAGAATTTCAGACAATTCCTAGAGAGCCATGATATGACTTCCACTGGGCAATGGCTTGCTGTCAATTCGGGGAGAACTTGCAAGTGACATCATACCTTTCTAGGAATTGGCCAAAACTCTATGGTTTGACCACAGAGTTCCAGACAAATCCTAGAGAGCCATGATATGACTTCCGGGTTTCCCTGGAACTGACATCATGGTGTTTGTCGACAGGCCACCTGCAACCCCCCAATCTCCCAGTATTAAACAGTCAACACCTCTGTGATATCCTATTTCACTGCAATTGTTCTCCTCCTCAAGATTTCTTATCTTTTTGTAAATCTGGATATGCCAGGGATTGAACTGGGATCTTCGGCATCCAAAGCCGATGCTTTACAATCAAACCATAGATCGAGTGACTGAACCACGGACCCTCAGGACTACACTGCTGCTATCTCACTCTCCTGCTCTCTCTCCTGTGTTCTACTGATGCAGCTCCGTGACTCAGTCGACCAGAGGCAACCTCCACTGCAAAGCATGGAAGCCTGCATATTAACTGTCATGCCTAGTAGAATGCCACAAGACTTTGGACTTGCGATGCCCTTGCCAATAGATTGGCCACCACTGCAAAAACACACCGCCGAAGGAAGCGCTTACCTGGTCCGTTTCTGTGAATGTGCTCTGCTCGTCATCTTCGATGTCGGATTCCCCGACGGCGATGGGAACACAGATGGATAGGTCCGGGTTGGTCATAAAGTCATCGTTGTGGTCTTTAGCCCCTTGCTGGTTCTCCTCCTTTCTCTCGAACCCGTCCATGGTGGGGTAATCCTTGTGGGTCTCCTCCTCTTTGCCCGACTCCGTGGCAGTGTGGTTGCTGACGCAGTTGTGGATGACACCCGGGTTCTGAGCAACAAGCTTCATCATGGCTTTCTTTTCCGCCGTCGCCTTCGGTTGCCTGAGGACGCTGCAGCAGAAATCCCACATGGCCCGTTTGGCGTACTGGAGCCCTCGGTTGATGCGGGCAAAGGCCAGCTGCAGGTTGTTCATCTCCCCGTCCTCGTCCGGTGCGGAGAGGTTATCGGCACTGAACGAGCTCAACAGCAAGGCAAGAAACAGGTTCAGCACCTGAAAGGAAGTCAAGTTGTATCCGTCATCCTGAGAAATCACATTCACAGCGATTAACTTCAATTGTCTTGTTCCAAGGTAGCTTTACTCGCATTAACGGGTCAGGGCAGACAGCGGGAAACACTCCTTCAGACAGCTTATAATTAAGGGCAGCGAGGGCCCCGTTTTCAGGCGGCTTTTAAAAAAGGTTTACGCAAAATCATGGATGGCTAGGGCTACCAATATCCGTTACGGTTAGAAACCTGACATCAAAAATCAGAACACACACAAAAAAACAGCAGGAGGACTTTTTAATCTTCCGGGACATTTCCTCGCTGACCTAAGAGTGACAGTCCTCAAACAGAGAAGCTTTGAGGGGAGATCACAGTGGGAGTTCAGTTCATTCACAAATCACAGAAACACAGAATGACAGACTTGGAAGGGGCCAGACAGGCCATCTAGTCCAACCCCCTGCTCAATGCAGGATCAGCCTAGAGCAGTGATGGTGAATCTTTTAGAGGCCGCGTGCCCAAACTGCGACCCAAAACAAAGTGCCAACACGGCAATTTAACCTGAATACTGAGGTTTTAGTTTAGAAAAAACAACTCATACATTAACATAGGATGATCCAAACAAAGTAAGGAAAGCAATCCTAAATGCTTTCATTTACATAAAATTATTTGGCAGAGAATTCCACACTTTAATGATGGTCTGGGCCTGGCTGGGGCGATCACACGCGTGCCCGCTGAGAAGCCTCTGAGTGCCACCTCTGGCACCCGTGCTATAGGTTCGCCACCACTGGCCTAGAGCATCCCTGACAAGGGTTTGTCCAGCTGCTGCTTGAAGACTGCCAGGGAGGGGGAGCTCAACACCTCCCTAGGCAGCTGGTTCCACTGTTGAGCAACTCTTACTGTAATATCCAACCGGTACCTTCCCGCCCTTATTTTAAACCCATGATTGTAAGTCCTCTCCTCTGCTGCCAACAGGAACAGCTCCCTGCCCTCCTCTAAGTGACAGCCCTTCCGATACTTCAAGAGAGCAATCCTGTCCTCCCTCAACTTCCTCTTCTCCAGACTAAACATCCCCAAGTCCCTCAGTCTGTCCTCCTGGGGCTTCTTGGTCTCCAGGCCCCTGATCATCCTCGTCGCTCTCCTCTGCACCCGCTCCATCCTGTCCACATCCTTTTTGAAGCGAGACCTCCCGAACAACACACAATACTCCAGATGCACCCTGACCAATGCACTGTACAGTAGGACTATGACATCTTGTGATTTGGATGTTATGCCTCTGTTGATACACCCAAGATCGTATTAGCCTTTTTTGTCACTGCATCACACTGGGTGCTCACATTTAACTTTCGGTTCACACACACGGGTACCCAGAAGTGTATCCCCCATCGAGTATGTGTGTTCCTAATTTTTGTTACCCAGATTCAGAATTCAGAACAATGCACCCAAACAGGGCTAAATAAAGACATCATATTTTTTATCCGACTACAAATGCTAATTTTCTGCCCCTGAGCATTTCTTCCCCTGCACTAATCAACCTCATAACATTCTGCATTGTGCCTTTGCCTCCATTTTGCATCCCTCCTTTGCAACACCCCCCCACCTTCTGAGTGGGATATGAGAGCCCAAGGATCTCCGCTCCTACTTGTATCTGATGAAGGGAGCTTTGACTCTCAAAAGCTCATACCCCAAAAACCTTGTTGGTCTCTAAGGAGTGGAGTGGAATCGAGCACTTCTACTACAGACCAACATGGCGACCCTCCTGAAACAATGACCGATTCCCCACAAGCAGCCTGTGCCGCTTTTGCTCTTCTGTCCCCCCCCCCCCCCTTCACTCTGTTAATTCCCCCCCCTTGCTGCTCGGCCGCATTTTGACCTGCAGCTCCTCCCGATTTTCCCTGCGTCTTCTCGATCTCAAAAAACAAGGATCGAGAAGACGCGGGGGAAATCGGGGGGAGATGCGGGTCAAAATGCGGCCACACAGCGAATAGTGTGGAATTGACCAATGCAAGTAGGGGAAACAGAAGAGCGAGGGCGGCACAGCTGCTTGTGGGGAATCGGTCAATATCTATTAGTCGCAGTAGTTAACTAATATCTCCACGTATAAAGCAACATCAGATGACGGGGATAGACAACAAGGGACAGATGGCAATCATCTTCGAAGAAGAAGAAGAGGAGGAGGAGGAGATTGGGTTTATACCCCGCCCTTCACTACCCAAAGGAGTCTCAGAGCGGCTTACAAGCTCCTTTCCCTTCCCCTCCCCACAACAGACACCCTGGGAGGTAGGTGGGGCCGAGAGAGCTCTGACAGAATCTGCTGTTTTTCAAGAACAGCTGTGCCAGAACTATGGCTTGCCCAAGGTCATCCAGCAGGTGCAAGTGGAGAAGTGGAGAATCAAACCCGGTTCTCCCAGATGAGAGTCCACACACTTAACAACTACACCAAACTGGCTCTACACCAAACTGTAGTTCAAAAGTACCTTCAGGGTCATCTAGTCCAACCCCCCCATACAATGCGGGAAATTCACAACTTCCTCCCCCCGACACCCCGAGTGACCCCTGCTTCATGTCTACTTAGGAGGTTCTGCCTGGTCCACTTGTTAGGAAGCATGAATCCAGACATTCCAGCCAATAGTTGTGTTACCTTGCCAAAGTCCATTTAGACCAATGCTTTGCTCTGAAAACACCACTACGGCACATGCTTCCGGAGCACAATCTCGAGGCTGCAAGCGCTCGTTTTATCACGCCACCCGAAGACATCCCTAGACATATTCAATATTGTTAACGGTTAGTAGTTTACCGACTCTACATGAGCACGCACAACTCTCTGCTTGTATATTTTCAGAGCCGATAAGGAAAATGCAATTTCTCATGACCTGCCCGAAACCTCTCGTACAATCGTTCCTCCCGTTACGCTCCGTGCGGCCCACCACTTGGGAATCAAATGACCTACTTTGGGGGAACCTTGACATATGGTGAGAGAATGCTGCTGATAATCATAATAATATTTCTTCTCTCCAAATGAGGCATATTCATTCTAACTATATGACGTTAATGAGAAATGTTTCTAAGGTTAGGGGTTTTCTTTTTTTTTGGAAAAAAGATGCATTCTGCTTTCATACGGCTGTAATTATCTCTCTCAGCATATAATGTACATGCACTTATTGGGTATGATAACGCCCCCAGATTTCCAAAGATCCTAGCCTGAGGGAATCTAGCATGAGGAGAACCCCCCGTCCTTCCCCAAGAAGGGCCACTACAGAGTTAGAATCTTAGAATCAGAATTGGAAGGGACCTCCAGGGTCATCTAGTCCAACCCCCTGCACAAGGCAGGGAATTCAGAAATACCTCCCCCTCCACACCCCCAGTGAGTGACCCCTGATCCATGCCCAGAAGATGGCAAAAAACAAAACAAAAAACCCTCCAGGATCCCTGGCCAAAACTGGCCTGGAGAAAAATTGCTGCCTGACCCCAAAGTGGTGATCGGCATTTCTCTGGGCATGAAAGAAAGGGCCACAAGAACTAGGCACTGATGCAACCCTTCCTGCCCTCCCTCTCATGATCTGCCTAAGTTCTCAAAATCAGTATTGTTGTCAGATGGCCATCCTGCCTCTGTTTGAAAACCTCCCAAGAAGGAGAGCCCACCACCTCCCGAGGAAGCCCGTTCTACTGAGGAACCGCCCTAACCACCGCTCTAACCGTCAGGAAGCTCCTCCTAATGTTTAGCCAAAAACTCTTCTGATTTAATTTCAACCCCATTGATTCTGGTCTGACCTTCTGGGGCAACAGAAAACAACTCCGCACCATCCTCTAGACGACAGCCCTCAAAGTACTTGAAGGTGGTGATCATATCACCTCCAGGGTAAACATACCCAGCTCCTTCAGCCTTTCCTCATAGGACGTGGTCTTCAGACTCTGTCAGGATGTTTTTCCTAACATTTCGCTGAAAACTCTTCTGATTTAATTTCAACCCATTGGTTCTGGCCCGACCTTCTGGGTTGGGGGGGGGGGAAGGAAAAGGAGATTGTGAGCCGCTCTGAGACTCCTTTGGGCAGTGAAGGGTGGGGTATAAACCCAACCTCTTCTTCTTCTACTTGGAGAATTTGGGGGTGGAGCCTGGGGAGGGGAGGGGCCTCAGCAGAGTATGTAACGCTATAGAGTCCATCCCCCAGAGTGACCATTTCCTCCCAGTGAGCCCTCCGAGTGAACTGACTTCTTTCGCCTAGAGATGAGTTGTGACACTGCGAGATCTCCAGCCACTGCCTGGAGGTTGGAAACCCCATTGGGAGGGAGGAGCCTAGCCAGCCCAGCGACCTGCCAGAGGCTCCCTGCTCTGCCCCGCCAGCCAGCGGAAACGCTGTCTCGACTGCCATTCCTCGGTGGCTGGCGACAAGCGGGTATCGACTCGGCTCTGTCCTCCTGCCAGAGATGCCCTCCAGCCAACCAGAAGAAACACGTTCCGATGAAATTGGCAGGGAGAGAGTTTGAATCTCTGGCAAGTGTCAACCAGCTGCTTGTGATATCGATAGCAGGGAGACTGAAGGGAGAAATGCACTAAGAAGATTTGCACGGAGCAGCGGCAGAAAAAAAAAAGACGAGATTCTGGTATGGCACCAAGTACAAACGGGGCGGCGTAAAGACTGTGAGACGCAGGGCCACAAACCTCTATACTGCCACAAAGTCACTTGGCGGGCTTAGGCAAGCCACACTCCCTCCCCACTCCCGCCTGCATTCTTGGTGTAGTGGTTAGGAGCGCAGACTCTAATCTGGGAGAGCCGGGTTCTATTCCACACTCCTCCACATGCATCTGCTGGTATGACCTTGGGTCAGTCACAAGTTCTCCCAGAGCTGTTCTCTCAAGGGCGGTTCTCGGAAGATCTCCCTCAGCCCCACCTACCTCACAGGGTGTCTGTTGTGGGGAGGGGAAGGGAAAGGAGATTGTAAGCCGCTCTGAGACTCCTTTGGGTAGTGAAGGGAGGTTTACAAATCCAACGTTTTCTTCTACTACTACAA